CTGCTTTTTTCTTAAGTTCATTTTCTTGTAAGGAGATAAGATTTTCATATTCTTTCAGTTCTTCCTCTGTGAAAAACTGTTGCTGATCTAATGTCTAAAGAAAAAAAACGAAGAAAGAATAATCTTAGAAATGCAACCATAAGGTCTGATTCAGCTGTCAAGTTGTATGATTAGCAAAGTACAGTAGAGTATAGTATTATACCTTTGGGGTAAAAAAAGAAAAGGAATTAAGAAAAAATATATTTATGTACTCTGAATAAAAGGAACACCTAAAGACTAATGAGATTGTTTACCTACAGAACGAGGGAGAAACTGAGTGGAAAGGACAAAGGGAGTGAAGGCAAGGAAATCATACTCCTCTGAATACACATTTTGTACAGAATTGCTTTTCTGAAACATTCAATGTGTTACCAACAAAAAAAACACACACAAATAACTAAAATCCACAAGGACAGAAAAAATCCCCCAAATTGAATAGAAACAGAAACAAATAAATAATACTTTTATTTTAACTGAATAAAATAACTGACAGAAGGGAGAAGGGAAAAAAAGAACTAACCCAAGAAACTTCTTAACACAGTATCTGGACTACATGCACTCAAGTTAAAAACAACCCAAAAATCTAAACAAGTCTTAGTCTTGTTTTGCAGAGGCATGGATTAGCAATTCTAAAATGCTTTCAATATGCTAGGACTGAGCAAATAAGTGGAAACTTGTGTATGTTTGTTCTCCCCCCCACGTCCCGCGTGGTTCAGGGTTCAGGATCTGGAAGAGGAGCCACACACAAATGAAAGAGAAGAGACAAGAGATAATTTGGAAATATTGGGGGGCCAGGCAGGCAAGTCCAACTCAAGGGGAAGGACTTCCACCAGTGCCCATGCCTCACCAGCCTTTTATTCACTTTGGTTAAGCATAAAACCCTTAGTCAGGCAGGTAATTGCAGTAACTGACTATCTTAAATGGTCAGTAAATATTAGGAGGATTTACTCTGAGACTATTTGATCAAGAAATAGCTTAAGCCCCCATAATCAGGACTAGACAAACAGTGCATAACTCAGGCCCTTGCCATGGGTTCAAGGGTCACCAGCATTCTGGGATCCTTGTTTGCACTTCTCTGTTAGTGAAGATAATGGACAGTCTCCTGCAGAAACTTGTGGAAAATGGGAGCCAGGTTTTATATGAAATACAGAAAAATAAAAACATTAAATGTATTGGAATTGAAGGTGTTGTATTAAAATTTAAGAGGATAGTGTGAACTCATGAGTTGTAATATATATTGACAGTGAAATATACAAAATGAATATAAATGTGTGTAGTGTGTCTATGTATGTGTGTGCAAGTGTGTACATGTATATATTCATAATATAAATAAATAAAAAAGTATTTAAAATTTTTAAAAAATTCCCAGCTCTATTATCTGACCAGGACTTGCTTTAAAAGCAAGGACAATTCCATAGCAAGTAGTCCATTTACTGTCCAGCTCCTGGTCTGTACTATCAATCTCCACTGAAAAACAAACAAACAACAGTACCCCTCAGAAAAAATGGCTGATTTCAGAGGTGGGGCAGAGAAGGAACAAGATGAACCTTGAACAGCTTTATGCTAAAAAGTAAGAAAGTCCTCAAAGGATGATGGGAACATACCAGAAGGCCACAAAAACCTGTTTGAGGAAACTCCCACTAGCCAAGTATAGAAATAAATACAGGCAGTCCTCGGGTTACGTCGGACTCTACGTACGTCATTTCGTGGTTATGTCACCATCTCCCACTCATTTATAAAGAAAAAAAAAGTTCTGTCATTTTGACATATGTACATATGTGCTTCATGTTTTTTATTATTTATTTACCATAAGTAAAGATCAGGAATTGATATCTTTCTTTTAAATTTTTTTTTACTGTTTCACTTCATTTACTGCTGTGTATGTGCTCCATGTAGTGACGTATGTGCTTATGTAGGTGGGTTCCGACTTATGACGAATGTCACGTTACATGGCGCTGTAGGGATGGATCTCAGACGTAACC